AGAGGCATTCTGTAAACTGTATACTGTGGAAACAAAGGATGTGTGTATGAATATATAAAGCCATTTTGACAAGTTTTAAAATTGTCCAGTACCCTGTTTTAACTAATCATCTTTATAATATTCCTTTGTGAAGAACTAAGATCTTCATATTTAATAATAACATGAGCCATAAAATTAAATTATTTAGTAAAAGCTCAGAGTTGATGGCTCTTCTGGTGTCATTTATACTTTTCTAACAGTTTTGAGTCCACTGGGTCTCAAGGGCAGGACTACATAGCTTCACAAACTGCCAAATCAAGGCATTATTTAAAAAGAATTTATTATTGTTCACATATATACATTCAAACATATACATAAGCATATAAATTTGATAACTTCCTAGGATTAAGATCTCATATAAGTTTAAGCCTAAGGGGGAAAAAAACTGTAAACAGGTAAATTACTTTAAAAAAAATTCATTTGAGAAGAAGAAACCCAACTCATAAATATGAAGAATTGCTTGTATCTTCAAAAGGACTGAGGATTAAAGGTGAAGATTCATCTCAAATTTAAGGCTGTTATTACAGGGCGCCTGGGTGGCTCAGTCGGTTAAGCGGCCGACTTTGGCTCAGGTCATGATCTCGCGGTCCGTGAGTTCGAGCCCCGCGTCGGGCTCTGTGCTGACAGCTCAGAGCCTGGAGCCTGTTTCAGATTCTGTGTCTCCCTCTCTCTGACCCTCCCCTATTCATGCTCTGTCCCACTCTCTTTCTTAAAAATAAATAAACATTAAAACAATTTAAAAGAGAAAAAAAAAAGAAGTATGGTAAATTGTATACCTTTTGTTTCAGATTCTGTGTCTCCCTCTCTCTGACCCTCCCCTGTTCATGCTCTGTCTCTCTCTCTCTCCAAAATAAATAAACGTTAAAAAAAAAATTTAAGGCTGTTATTACAAACACAGTAGTGAGAGAGAAGATACCTGGGAACAACAACTAACATTCTCTGAGCGCTGTACTACCTGCCAGGTACTGTAACGACAGTTAACATTCATTTACTATTTAATCCTCAAAGCAATCCTGCGTGATGGTACCATTATTATCTCCATGTTATAGGACATCAAAACACAGAAAGGCTTGTAAATAAACTAACATTCAGGAAGTGCTGGTACTGAACATAATCTGTCTTTATATATCCCAGTAATCCCATGGGATATTATGCATAGTTATGTACAGAAGTACTGAGGCCCAACGAAGTTAAATAAATTATACCAACATAAATAGAAGGCATATCTAGAATTCAAAATCCTGGTTGACCTCTGTCTAAAGCTGCTTCTTTTCCCTGCAGCAAACAACCTTCCTAGAGCCTCACAGGTTGTAGAAGAGGAACCCAGCTGTAACTCAGAACATCTGCTTTCCAGTTCCAGTGCTTGGTGGAGTGTAAACACGCTCATCAGGTGCTTAATTTCCTGAGCCACCCTTTCTTTATCTGTGGCAAGTTGTGGATTGGGATGGACAGTGTACAGTTATCTGAAGTCTCTTCCAGTTCTAGGGGCTCTGGGTGGTCTAGCTCTGTTGCTGCCAGTCTTCAGCCTGTGGGTCATGCTCTGGTTCGTGAGTTTGAGCCTCTCATCGGGCTCTGTGCTGACAGCTCAGAGCCTGGAGCCTGCTTTGGATTCAGGTCTCCTTCAAACCCACCCCTGCTCACACTCAGTCTCTCTCTCTCTCAAAATAAACATTAAAAAAAAGAAGTTTTTAAGTCTCTTCCACTTGAAAGTATACAATTATGTCTAGGGACAACTTATCTGGGGATAGGTAGGTGGCTTAGACAAATGTGTGTGACTTCTGTTCTAGGTAACAGATACATTTCTAACTCAGACACAACCCACAGAACTGTGGTCAAATAATCCTGATTTGAGCCTGAGTCTCCCAACTAGCACCAGAAGACAAACCCACAAGAAAAAAAAACCTCTGTGATTTTCTCCTCTCCTCAGGTGAGACACCCCATGCCCTCCTCCCATCCCTCCTCACCCCCTCGCTCTCTCTTCAGTCTGACCAGCAGAGCCAGTGAAAAAACCCCTCATGTGTCATTCTGAAGGAGCACAGCAATGCCAAGAGTTGGATCAGAAGAGACAAGGAATTAGACTTTGTGTCTCTTGCTCATGGAGGGACAACAGAAGCAACAGTGCATCTGAAAGGCCCTGCATGGTCAGCGATTCTGCCCATACAGTCAGTGACCCGAGGACCTAAGGGCCTTAGTAACCGCTGCTACTTGGTAAAGTCGCCTGGTGTCTTCATTTACTTATTGTAAACCATCTGTCCAGGTTGAGCCATTATCATATCCATTATTAGTTTCAAAAGATGTGATCACTAAAAAAATAGAATGAGAAAGCCACTTTAAATTAGAAGCAGCTAAAATAGGCCTCAAGTAGTCCTTTTGTAGTATTCTGCTTAAAGCAAATAGCTTTTAAAATTTTGAAGTCAATCATATTCAGTTGATTAGGGACACCAAATAATTCTATCATTTCTGTCTAAAAAAAAAAGTATTCACTTTTGAAAATTTTAAATGAAGGTCGGTATAAAACGCATTTAAAAAAAATTTTTCCACATAAAAGCAAAGACTGAAACTATAATTCTAGTATATTGAATTCAGAAAGCTTTCATTAAAAAGGCATTAAAATAAAAGTATACTTTTACCATAAATGAATCTCGTCATGAAATATACTGAGATGACCAGGTCAGTTACCACTGCAATAATAAAGAAAGTCAGAGACTGTATGTGGTGGGTCAAATGAATGTGTGGAACTGGGGATAAAGTGAAGGTTAATAATCAAGTGAGGATGAACTGAGACCAGGCTATGTTGATCAGATTCCTTTTCTTCCAAAGTAAGCGGCTGGACGAGAACTTCGCGAGATTTAGATCATGTCCAGCTTACCACTCATTAGCTGACTGTGGTGTCTCTGGCTTAACCCATTTAGTGTCCTGGCTCCTTCTTTCCTCTTCCATTAAAGATGAATATGTAATATGGTATGGGGGTTGACCCGATAAAGTGTGTTCTTCAAGTCTACGAATGTATGTATCATGTATACATAGGTGAAATTATACAGTAATTCCTTTACTTTTCTGAAAGCAAGAAGACAGTCTTTCAATTTCTAACCACCAAGAAAATGACCAATATAACAAAGAACAAGATATTGGTAATGCAAATTTCCACCTGATTCAAATTTCCACCTGCTGAAATCACCTCTAACAAAAATATACATACTTTCCAGAGAGGCTCAAAAATGCTGAAGGACGGAATGGTGTCCAGCTGTTGGGATAGAAATCAGTATCTAGGGAAAAAAACAATC